GCCAGGTGGGTGGCACTCACTGCGTGAAGGTGTGGCCAGCTCAGTGATGACTGTGACCAAGACCATCTTCTGCCAGGGAAGCTACCTTCCAGGCTTCTAAGGGGGACAGCGGCTGTCTTTCTAGCTCCCTGGTGGGAGGTGCTGGGAGGAGCAGCTAGGGGCGGGCAGGTGCGGGGGGGACAGCTGTCCCTCAGTGGTGCTGGTGAGTTGGGCTGGGGGCAAGACGGGGATCACAGAACCAGCTCGACAGCAGAGAGAGGGAGCATGTGCTCCTCTGTACTCTAGGACTCCCCGGAGATCTTGGAGCCCAAGGGCCCATCCTGGCACCTTGCAGGATGTCCGCTGACCTGGAGACCAGCTAGTACACAGTCCCACGATCACAGACCTGGTCTGCTGAGCTCACTCCTATAATTTTAAAATCTGGATTCCTATGAGAACTTAGTGTGTGTGAGTGTGTGTGTGTGTGTGTGTGTGTGTGTGTGTCTGTCTGTCTGTCTGTCTGTCGCCTTATGCTTTTTATGCTTGAATTTTCGGTGCTTGAGCCCTAAGGCAGAATTTACTGTGCAAGGTTCAAGGATAGGAGCAAGAGTAAATAAATAAATGGTAGGAAAAAGGGATCAGAAAATGAAGTATTATAGAATAAATGAGTGACCTCAGGAAGTAGGCTCACGGTAATGAGGAAAATAACTTGGAATCAAGGTGTTTATTTCCTGTGTTCCTGGGTTAATATGTTCCTTGTATTTGTGTTGGATATATTCTCCTTCCATGAAAATGACAGAAATGACACATGATAACGTGTACTTGGTACACAAAAAGAAAAATATGAAATTGCTTCTGTTATTATCTCTATAATCATATGTTTTTCTTTAGATGATACATTATTTCTGAGAACTTCAGAGAGCAGCTTAGCCGTTATCTCACCAGGGTTGAAATGATTCTATCTGAATGGAGATACATATTGAAAAATACTAATTCGATCTGAGTATGAAGTTATTTGGGGAGATTAAATGCAATGATATGAGTTTTGACTTAGGATCCATAAGCACTAAAGTATTAGAGGGAAGCAACTTTCTTTAAACTATAAAATAAGGAACTTTCCAGAAATACACCCTCCTCCATTTGGTGGCACCTGAGAGCTAGAGCTCAGGGGACAGCACAAACACTGTGACCTCCTCTTTTCACTCTCCTTGGGCAGCGTCGGGTGGAGGGGACCGCTCCCTCTGGATTTGATTCCCTCTTTGCTCCTTCCCCTACTCTCATCCTCTGATGTGAGGAGAAACGAGAAAGAATGGTTCCCTCTCACGAATTCTGTTCTCTGGTTTTCTTTCCCTTGAAAATATTTAACCACCAGTCCCAGGAAGGGAAGCGCCTTTGGTGGGTGGTGGACAGGACAGGGGACTCTGCACCTGCCAAGTATCAGGAGGGATCCCTTCGGCTCAGTTACACTGGGCCTGACATGACCAGTGAGGAGGAGCTGGCTTACTTTAGTAGCCGTCTAGAAAAAGAACACCAAGTTTCGTTTCTGCCAAGTGAGGTGCTTGAAGACTGGTTTCCCACGGAGAGACCACTTCCCTCACTAAGGAGGTCAGCAGGGGCGCCCGGGGGGCTTATCTGGCCCACTATCTTCTCCATGCCCTCCAGGAGGCGCTTGTTCTGCTCCTCGATCTCGATGGCTTTCGACAGGATGGCGTCGGGCGCCTCGTGCATGCCCCGCACTTCCGACACCAGGTGGTACAGAGGGTCGTTCCAGGAGCGCAGCACGCGCAGGACCAGGTTCAGCAGGTCTTCGTGCTGTGGAGCCACGTTGAGGGACCCGTTAGAAGCAGCAGAGATTAGCAGGGCTGCCTAATGGGGTCTCTGCTCAGACAGGCTGAACTACAGAACCCCTTGGTTATTCTTGTGTGTCTATCCAATTTGGGGGACAATGATAAAAATTATAGAAAAGTAAAATTTAAGTCAAGGGCCTAGACTGCACTAAAGTGAAACAGAAAAACTAGTTGATTTGAGTGACAACTTTTTCCAAGGAGCGTTCTCATTGGAAACATTTCTGTTCACCCTCTGGAATCCCACCCTCCGTCTACCCACTCAGTCTGATCTGTCGTGTGTGATTGCTTTGCTTCTCCACGGAGAGGAGCCAGCCGGGCTTTGCTGGAAATCAGTAGGCACTCTCGGGACCTGCCTGGGGAAAGCTAGATTCCACCAGGATCCGTGACAAGTGACACGGATCATTGTCACCCAAGGATTCGCTCGCACTAATGAACCGGGTTGGTTCATTAACATCTCAGTGATTTTTAGGTTCATTTTGGGATATTGGAGCCAAGAGATCACAAACACAACATGGCGCTCCCGGTGTGCCTCCCTGGCTCTGCACAACTCCCTGCCCCGTGCCTCAGGCAGAGCAGCCTGTGGGGGGACAGTGGTATCCTCAAACAGCAGATGGAAGTCCCAGTGGAGTTTTATCCCCCAGTTTATGCTGAACAGTAAGATCATGGGTAGGTTTAAAGCACTGGCTGTGCTGGTGTCTGTAGCTGCTCTAGTGGTCAGGAAGGGCAGAGTCCAGTGGGCGTGGCACTGGAAACAGGGAAACGAGAGGAGCAGGAACGCACATCGTGCGCTCTGTGAAGTGCTGGCCGGGGTGGCCTCCGCCAGCGTTCCCTGGCCCTCCTCTTTCTCTTAGGAGGATCATCGTTATTAATGAGCACAGCAGACAGACAGAATACCCAGACCACTGGGAAAAGTGTGGAGGGAGAACAGAGGTGCTGTGTGAGGGGTGGACACAGGATGGTGTTTACTTTAAAACATGTTCAGGCTGTGGTTCTGGCAGGGTATCAGAACAGAGCCACCGTGACAAAACAGGCAGAGCTGGGTGGACGCCTGGGCTGGACCGGCAGACAGCGCTGTCATCAACCCTGGTCAGAGCTGCCCTGGTGAGAAACCTGACATCCTGTCTGATGAACCTGCCTGGTGGAGGAGTCTCCGTGAACACCTAGGGAGGGCAGAGGTGTCAGTGACGAGGAAGGGGGTTTTAGAGAGGCCAAAGCAGAGCAGAGGGGAGTCTAGAAGGCCCAGGAGAGAGGATTCCAATCACGCAGTGGTCAGGGACGGCAAAGGTTCCAGAGGAGGAGTCTCGAGTAACAGATAAGAATTGCCT